GCTTCAAAACTTTCCTTCGAAGTCTGGAACGCTTTATCCCATGTATAGCCAAAAATGCAGCCTGGCAAACCTTTGTTGTCTTCTCGTTGGTTTTTACTACATACCGAAATGTTGTATTTCGTACACGTGGCGAATTTTCTTTTCTGGGACGCACACGTTTCACGCTATCTGGTTGAACACATCCTTCAAGGTACAGGTTCTGTTCGCTATGTGAAGTAAATTTCATATAATTTTCAACAATAGATTTTCGGTCCTCTGTAGTAATTTTGACAGAACATTTACATCGGCAGTTAGGAAGGTCTCGTATTTGAATGGACTTTTCTAAATATTTTTTGTTGTGTATAACCCTTTTCCATGTTTCTTTGTTTACTTTACGTTTCTTTCCTTTTACAACTTCTGCCACCTCGGTACTGCAAGTTTTTACAACTTGATTTTCTTGACTACCACTTCCAAGAACCGATAGTTTGTTTTCTTCGGTAATCGCGCTATGAACCTTTTGTCTCTTACTCTTACTTTTGTCCTGCACTTCCTCCTCCTCTGAAGAACTCTCATCATCAGAACAGGCTTCATATTCGCTACAAGAAGGGGAGAAGTCCGCCTCCTCGTTTGATTCTAAAAACGTTTTGAGTTTACTTTGGTAACTAGGTTATGTAGGGTGAACGTGGGTAAATGCACCCCCTAAAATCAATAATTTGCATTTAAAAATTCCTCCACGGAGAAGTGTTTACTGAATTTGTCCCAAGTTTGTTTTAATAAGATGTGTATTATGTTTACTAACTGTGTTCTAAATGTTTTGCTCATAGCCTTGCAGTTCTCTTAAAAAACAATTTAAAAAAAAAACATGTAGGGTGGTGCATTTACCTGGCAATTGTGGGTAAATGCAACTCCGTCATATAACTTATGAAAGAACACAATAATAGAGATTGAGAGGTAACTGCACCAAAATATCGATTTTTTCCAACATTGAAAAATTTTTTGAAATTTTTTCAAGGATTGTTACTGCTCCAAACAAATTTTACAAAATATGTAAGGCAGCGTGATATTCACATAAGAACGTTTATTCATAAGTACCTATTATTTACTGAATGCAGAAACATACATAGTTATCTACCAGCAAATACAGTTAAGAAATATTATAACCAGAAAAATCAACATGAAAGCGATGCAGCTCTCTTCTATCAATAATTGGATATTTTAGTTTTTTTATCATATCATCTTTGTGAATGGAATATACATCATCAATAGCAGGCCATTTAAATATGCCCTTCCTCTTATCTTTAACTCTCAAAAATTTCATTTGTGAGTTATCACCAGTTTGGCCACTTATGACTTTACCAACATAGTAGCGAGTAGTCTTCGCATCTGTACAAAATCTTACTAAGTAAAATTGATCTTCAATTACTTGATCATCCTCAAATTCATCGGAGACTGAGAGTTTTTCAAACTCATCAGAAACATCCATATCGGGATCTGATGGAGTTTGATCAAAATGATCATCGTTAGAAGTTGAACCATCACTCTCTGGTTGATTGTATTTTCTCTTCACTTTTGTTTTTGATGAGCTGCTTTGTAACTGGGCCTGTTGAATATCACGTAAAGTGTCGGTAGTTAAAATTTCAGCTGTTCCCGCAACCTTTTTCTTAGAAGCCTTTGCTGGTTGTTCCTTAGCACAAATACCTTTTAGTAACAGGCGTTCAAAAGTAGCCTCCAGTTTTTGGCACCCACTTATCCCAAAGATCAACTGGCTGAGGTTCATCTGGTTTGATGCTATCAGACTTATTATTTTCAACATTTGCTTCCATTGCCTGTGGTAGATCAGGTTCAACGCTACTGCAGTTATCTTTCTCAACGGGCCTAACAATAGTTGCATTTGGAATGTTAGTACTAGTTGGAATTGCTGTTTTATTTGCATTAAATCTGTCGAGTTTTTCGGGATTGTATGTTGAAACATCTATGGCATCCCTATTCACTTTTGCTTCATTTGTTGATTCGGGGTCATGAATCCCAGTTTTCTTGAAACCACTTTTTATGTTATTACATGTCAAACTTTCCCAAGTAGAACCTAAAAGTCGTGCAAAATTTTCTTTGGATGGCCGCTGACCGACATGTGTTCTTTGCCATTTTGATAAATTGGTATCCCATTTCACTTTAAGTCCTCGAAAACAGGAAACATCTAGTGGTTGAAGGATGTGAGAGGTGTGCGCAGGGAACTTTTGAATATTCACTTCATTGTGTGGCCGTCAAAAATAAGAATTACAGGTTTATTGTCATGAACAAATGGCAAGAATTGGTCCCTAAACCATTTATAAAAGACTTCAGCTGTCATCCATCCCTTGGGAGTAGAAGTATATGCAGTGTTCGGATAGCCTCCAGTTTTTGGCACCCACTTATCCCAAAGATTTTTACCTTTATAGATGATAAGGGATGGCATTTTTTCACCAGCAGCATTAACACATGCCAAAACTGAAGTATTTTCTCTACCGCTTCCGGCAGTATAACGATGACAAGGTTTTCCTGTTGCAGCTACCACTTTTGTTTTGGTGGGATCATGACAGAAACTGGTCTCATCACAATTGTAGATTCTTTCAGGTTTGTCATGCAGTTTAAGGTCTATTAGTGAAGCCTCAAGTCTATCAAAAAATTCATTAATGACAAAAGGATCACAACCCTGGGTTTTTCTGGAATGCTCTAAAGCCTCGGGTTTTTTTATTGACAAACCGTGTCTTGATTTAAAAGAAATCCACCATTCTTGACCTGGTCGGTTATTTTTAGAACGAGTGGCTATTCCCTCATTTCTTATATAATCTGTGACCAGATTTAAAACCTCTGTTTTTGTCAAACCTAAACCATTTTTTGACATTGTACGAATAGCCTGGGCCAATTGATTTTCTACTTGAGGAGCTATTAATGCTGTCCCTCATCCACCACCTCCTGCTGAAGATCCCAAAACGCCACGCCGACCCTTTAAGTGATCTCGTAGTGTTTCCCTTGGAATATTATAACGGGATGCGCACCCTTTAATACTAATTTGGTTATTTCTGATTAATTGGAGGGCTTCTTGTTGCTGCTGGTTTGTATATGCTCGTCTGTTCCCTTTTCGTGAATACACACGGCCCATTTTCTAGCTGCAACAATAAAATAAGTACCAATATTACATCATGGGTAAGTGCACCACTCATAAGTAAAGGGGGGGTGCACTTACCTCTACAGCAGGTGGTGCATTTTCCCATTTTTTAAATTTAAATGGGGTAAACGCGCCATCCACTGGAAATATCAGGGCAAACATAGTTAACCTCAAAACAACCAACAACATAATTGGGCGAAAGGACACCCTTAATACATTTATACAGCAAATGTTAAAATATTTACCATTAATATTTTTTCTGCCACTGAGAACACAACCGTCTTTAACACAAATACGTTGCAAGTAAGTTACAAATATTGAGTGCGTTTTTAAAGTGTTCCTGCTGGTCGAACACTTTTTAGTTGAACAGAATAATTCATTGGTCGAGCGTGTGTTCGAATCCCGCATTAAAAAACGACGCTTTGTGCAACTAACGTAACCTATTTATCCCATAGAGTAGTTTGTCTTATGTTTATGCTATAACCTCAAACCGCACTCTTTTGAAATTGGTGTTGAAGTATTTTGATATTGTTTAATAATGGATATAAATGAGCAAAACGATGTGATCAATCTTGTATTGGCCCGTGGGCACGCCTTGTTTCACTGTAGCAGTAAGTCCAAGCGTTAAGAAAGTCTTTGTGCAGCATATGTTAGGTTTGATGTGGAAATTAGCCAGGAAGCAATAACTCAGTTAATTACATTTATATATTGAAAACGAACATTGAGAAAAAGAACTTAATACAAAACACATGGTACAACTAAAAACGACATTCATACACTCCTACCTTACATCTGCAGTGTTGCCACTACTACTTAATTGCTATAGGTTTGTAACTAAAATGTGTATACTAACAGCATATACATATTTTTAAGGGAAATCAAAGCGGTTGCAGACTCTATTGCAAATAATCACCATTTACAACAAAAGAAGACGACGTCTTACACATAATAGAATTGAGATGTATGAAGACGTAGTACTACGATATTTACAAGAAAGATTTCCACTCACATTTCAGAATGTCTCGTAGTAGTATGGCTGTCTTAATTAACATTTGTGGTTTATGCAAGGCATCTTTAAAAACCGTTTTCAAATTATTTTCATTTACGTATGTTTGGACAACTAATTTAACCTCCTCCTTTGATAAGGCAAACCCCCATTTTGCCAATATAGTTAATTTTTTGGTTAAATCTTTCTCTTGATCCACAGATAAGACTTGCTTTCGTCCTCGTTTTGCATTATTTTTATTATGAATGCAGCGGCTTAATTTTGATTTATCAATCCCAAATTTCTTTGAAGCAGCTCGAATAGACAACTCACCTTCTTTAATTAAAGTAAGCGCCTTTTGCAGATCTTCTTCCGTGTAATTTTTCACTTTCGAAACGTAACATCTAGGCATTTTAACTTTCGGGAACCTAAAATTGTATAAAATTATGTATCATTTTTACCCCACAGCTCGTCTCATATTTACCCAAGCCGGTGTCTTAAATTTACCCCACTGACCTTGCACGTGGTACAAACAATTCATTCAGTAAAGCCGTGTACACATCTACGCTGCAACGTGTAATGCAACGTGTAATGCAACATGTAATGCAATGTGGACGAAATTTGTTTTGTAGTGCAACAATTTGGCGCGAACTCATGTAAATATCGTTTCCACTCTGTTGCACTGTTGCAGTGTATGCTCGTGCGTGAACATGGACGCTCAACTTCTTGAGACGTTACAACATTTTACCTTAGCATGTGGTGCTTTCATTATAATGCAAGAATTAGTGACTGATAAAAAATCGCGAAGATGGTGGAGAACAGACATATATAAAAAACGATGTGGAGCTACTTTGATGTTAGATCTTAAATCCCAGGAGTTAAGCGGTCAATATAAAAATTTCATTCGCATGTCTAGTTCAGACTTTGAATATTTGATTCAATTAATTGGCCCACAAATAGCAAAGAAAGATACGCGTTTCAGAAAGGCGATATCTGTGCAGGATAGGTTAGCTGTGACACTACGTTTCTTAGCAAGTGGAGACTCCTACTCCAGTCTGCAATATTTATTCAGAATATCGAAACAAGCGATAAGTCGAATTGTTCCTGAAGTCTGTGCTGCGTTAACACAAGGTTTAAGACATGAAATAAAAGTAAGTACCAAAACTGTATTTCATGTTAAATTACAAATCTATTTGAATTTATGAGTTATGCATTAGAGTAAATCTTCAAACTGAGGTTCTTCAGATTGTGATGTTTCTTCAGAGATCTGAGTGTATGAATGTACTGAAGATGAACATGGAGATGGTGTGGGGACTTCAGCTGTCGGTGTCGGAAGTGTGGAAGAATGCTGCCCGGGAATTTGTCCTGTCTGTAGTTGATTAAAGAATGAATTCGTGTTATTCGAATATGTATTTGGTATGTGTTGTGCAAATGAAGTAGTTGATGTAGATGGTCCCATGTAGTGCATGTTTCAGGTATAGGTGGCCTCATAGAACCCACGGTCAGCTTGAAAAATGATATTGTGAATTGCATGTTGAACTGAAGCTCTAGTTATGTCTGAATATTTAGACATTTTATTTCCAATGAATCCACAAAAATACCGAACCTCTTCATTCTGAATACTCATTTGATTAGAAAGTGAATTAACGTTGTCTGAGGCCGCTTTTAATATTCCGTATGATTGCTTCAATAAGTCCAGTTTTTGGTCGGTGGGTCGTTTCTTCTTGGGTGGTATTGGTGCAGAACGTGGTTCTGCTTGATCGACCTTTCCCTCCGCCGATGTTTCGTTTACGTTTTTTTCATCATCAATGACCTGCAATTAAAAATGTGTTAACGATACAGAACTTAACCATACCTTTTTTTATTTCAGTTGCCCGATTCTCCTAATGAATGGATAAAAATAGCAGAAGAATATGAATCTCAGTGGAATTTTCCGCATTGTTTGGGTAGTATGGACGGCAAACATGTGGTAATTCAAGCCCCATTCAATTCTGGAAGCGAATTTTTCAATTATAAGCAAACATTTAGCATCGTGTTGTTCGCGCTAGTCGATGCCGATTACAATTTTTTATTTATTGACACGGGTTGCCAGGGAAGGATATCAGATGGAGGAGTGTTTAAAGATAGCGTATTGGGTAAAAAAATGAAGAGAGGAGATTTATTTTTACCAGAACCCACACCACTACCTGGACGAGTAAAAGCTTTGCCATACTTCTTTTTGGGCGATTCCGCATTTGCATTGTCAGAAAATTTGTTAAAGCCTTTTTCTGGAGAACATGCGGCTGGTACTTTGAAAAGAATCTTCAATTACCGCTTAAGTAGGGCGCGTAGGGTAGTTGAGAACGTATTCGGTATAACATCATCTGTATTTCGTATTTTAAGAAAACCAATCGTTTTGGAACCAGAAAAGGTCGAACTAGTAGTAATGACTATTGCTTACCTCCACAATTATTTAAGGAGGAACGCACGCAATATTTATACTCCTCCGGGATCCTTAGATAAAGAAATAGACGGAAATGTTACCCCTGGAACATGGAGGAACGATAATGAAGGCAGATCAATGACTTCACTTAAAAACGTGCCCAGAAGAACATCACTTGCCCTCGATCATATTCGACATGAGCTAGGGGATTATTTTATTAACGAAGGGAAAGTTTCATGGCAAAATCTATATGCGTAAAATATAAATAGTAGGTACTTACGGTATTAGATCGTTTTCGCGGTTGGTTTCTTTCATTCAGAAAGGCCAGAGCATCATACGCAAACCATCTGCTTTTGTATACTTCCGCTGAACCTAAAAATGTATCTTTAAAACTACAATTTTATTAACAAATTCAACTATTAAAAAATGAAAAATCAGTATAGTTTTTTTTACGTAAATGAAAAAAGAGATTCATATTTACCTTTTCCAGTACCATGTGTATTTGTTTCTTTCGCTTTCTCACTTCTGTACGACGATAAAACGCTTGTCATCTTTTTTTTGCAAATTTCGCCCGTACTGGCGAGAGCGTCTCCAATTTCATTCCAGGTATCTACCTTTAAATGCGTTTTCTTATAATTTTCATTTCGGGGATTCCATATGTTTTCTTTTTCCCGATACAGTTGAATAAGGAGAAGCACTTTTTCCTCGTCCCAATCGTCCATCTTTCAAATGCGCGGATATATAGTTTGTACGAATGCACATGCACGATAAACGCCGTCCACACTGCAACTGAAATTTCCTTTGATGGCGCGCCAAAAACCGACAATGATCGGATCGCGAGCGAACACGTTTTGCAACAAGAGCTGCAACGTGCAACATCTGTCCACATTGGTTGCATTACATGTTGCATTACACGTTGCATTACACGTTGCAGCGTAGATCTGTACAAGGCATAATACACTGTTCGCGCGCGTTTTACTGAATGCTTATGGCAACGGCTTCATTTTGCGACCTTCGCCGAACAATTCCGACGTCTGGATTCGTCATGACCGTAAAAGATTGATCAACGATTTTAAAAGTTTTTGGCGCATAAATTGTAACACAGTGCATTGGTGGTTTATATTTAATTTTTGAATAAATATGACTTTAGGTTTTACTATATCCAGATTTTATTATTGTCGTTTTGTTGTGGGATTAAAATGATCTTTAGTTGCAATTATGTAAGTGTCTCATTTTTACCCATAATTTTGGTTGTCTCATTTTTACACCACTTCACCCTACATAATTTACAAGCGAGTACATTCAAGAATGTTGGTAGTACGGTAACGCGTACGGATGATAAAACGTCTGGGATCGGCTATTTTTACCATGCACGGGCAAACTGATGCATAGGTGGCGAAGGTAGGGAGTCGTGTCAACTTCCAGGTCCGGTTCGATGATGGTGCCTTCGTTGGTGATGGTGGAAGCGGGCTGCACATTCGGGGTACGGCTGGTCCAAGATATATAGAGACTGGTAGGCGCGCTTATACCTGTAAAATTTGACGCCAAATCCGGCGCTAGGTAAACTCAATCCATAGATGGCGCCAGGGTGATCAGTGTACTTCAACTTAATGTCATTAAAATTGTTTTAGGTTATGATGTTATGTACAAAAATTTTTTACTTAGCGACTTGGTGTGGTTTGGCATCTACAGTGTGTTATACCTAGTTATTGTTGCAAACAATTTCGGTAAATAAAATAGACAAGTACTAATCGGATGTATAAGCAAGCAAACTTGCACATCGCACTGTTCACTTTGCTAAAGTTCAAAGTTACAGAGCATTGAGGGGTTCCACTAAAAAGGATGCTCGTTATCACAGTAAATAGTAGCGCAATACCTGCATTACAGACTTCTCACCCCGTCTAGCTGTCGGAGCTTGTACTGGATCAAGCGAAGTCAACAAGTCATTGATCAATGTAAACCATATGTGAACAAACCAGGAGCCGCCCTTCTTATATTAAGATAAGCATCAAATGACCCTCACCTACACAATCTACGGTGTAAGCAATCATGCCGAGAGCTGTAAGAACCTCTGACACAAAATCATTATTGCCCGTTTGATTAGCGAGATTCTCGGCTGCTGAGATGGGGATTGAAGGAACTGGCAAAAGTCTACATTATTACTGTTAAGATGGAAGGTAGGGGACCCGACTTGTTCAACCTACCTTTTTATTTTATAACTTAATCTCGGAAGCTCCCAGGATCTAAATGCTGGATAGAAGGGGACTAGTGCAATAATTTTAACCAACTTCTGTTCCAGGAGTGTGGCTTATCCTAACCTTAGTCATCTTCCCATTTAACGCCTCTGCAAAACGACCAACTTCGGACTTCAGAAGAATGACAGATCACTGCGTAGGCAACGACGTGGAATTGTATTAGGTGTCGATGCTAACGATGTGTGGGGAAACACAACTACACTACACTTCTGCAGTCTGCACAGCTTCCTTGCCTTGGGTCTCATGCCGAGTACAATTACTTAGTGGTCGCTCTCCTACTTTCCATGGAAATTTAAAATACAGATGCGTTAAAACATAGACCCTTTTTCCATATTATTATCAGGGAAACTGCCTGTTACATTTTTTACAAATATTTACAAATAAATTTTCTATAAACAACGTCAACAATTTAATGAGACCAATTTTGCTAGTTACGCATATTTTTAAGAAGCTGCGCGTTATGACAATCTACAAAACAAGAATTGTAATTATTGCATTTACACTAAGTAGGTATTTTGACTAAAAAAAAAGTCGAAATGCTTCAATTACCTACATACTGAAGGAACTCGAAGTAAAGATGTATCACGAGTTAAGGGCGTATTGTGGTCTCAAATCAAACACTTTCTCATATTTGATGGTTTAATTCAAATTTAAATGACGTGTTAGAATAAATTGACAGTTTTGTGAAGTACACTGGGATGGGTGGCGACATCTAGGGAGCGATTTTAACTGGCGCCGCATTCTGTCTTACATAATGGCAGCGAGTCATCCTACCATCTTTAATATATCTTGGTAATACCCTACATGGATAATGATTTAGCGATTTTGGATACCTTGAAAGTTTGCGATACAGTTCTCTTTGCTATTTCTGCTGTAGCCGAGTATGATTATGGTGACGAGCTCATTGACCAATGGCGAAATAAGGTTCTGATGGTTTCGTTTGCACAAGTTTGTTAGGTGCAATTACCGGGCGACAAATAAGTGTAATTTTGTATCGTTTGCCAACACCGGTAGTGGCGGTCATTCACTTGGACGGCATTCCACAAAAGAAACGTGGTGAGCAAAAGCACCAAATTCAGAAGTTGGTATCGAAGTGGATGCCGGACCAAAAAAATTATGACCTGAGATAAAAGTAGTGACCCTTTAAACATATTGCGTAAGATCGGCAATCAGAAACATAAATCAGTTATTAATCGAGATCACTAGGGGCCAATTCTCAACTTTTTTCGAAGTGGTACGTATACGAGTGACACAATTTTGACGTAATTTTGCAAGAACATCCTTGCAACTTTCACGATTTCATTTGAAACTTTAGTCACATTTGTATGTCGACCAGTTTGAACGAAGCCGAGAATACGGCCCCTCATAAATTGTCAATGAATTATCATAAAGCCTTATTTCTTATAATAGTGATAGTACCTACTTAAGATTAAGTGCAATGATCAAAGTAGGTATATACATATATATGATGGAATGGTGGCTTAATGTTTATATTAAAAATAAGCAAAAAAGCTCCATGTAAAGTAAAAGTATACAATCAACGAATGCTTATCATTTCAAAATTCTTGTTTCTTTTCTGAAAAACGTTTTGTATAGACATTTAAGTCGAGGTATAAGCAAAGATCATACTACACTAGATAGACAGCGCTGTATAAATTTTAGACTCTCATAATTTGTCCCGCCACATAAGTCGACTGCGTCCTCCAGCGGCTATGTTTTTATGAGAATAGTACAAACTACCTGGCGGGGTAAGAAGACGCGCGAAATGGCAAAGCACAGTTATTTTTAGAACAAAGGGCTATTGTATGGGATATCGGTGTCATTCTTAAGCGCAACCTTGTGTGGGTGTTATAGATGTTTTATCTGGTTACCTTACTGTAAATTAAAATTCCGAATATTCACATCTTGTTTTAAATTAAATTTTTTATCGTAACACAACGAAGTTGAGGTAAAGCTTATGTGCTCGTGTTTCTGTCTGTCCGTCCGTCCGTTCCATCGAGATCTCGGCCCCTGGGCCACCTAGAGACTTCGGGTTTTCGCTAATTGATAGCCGTTATGGTCTATATTTGCCCATTTCGATCAGTTTCATATTTTCCATATTTTGCGCAGACTGTGCAATGCCAACTTTCATATTTATGGAGATATTTCTTTGAAATTATAACCACAGACGCTTCTAGTTCCGACTCACTTTAGCTGGATACAATTTTATTATGTAGGAGGCTAAGCGGGATATCTCGTTTATCCCAATCATAAAATGCTTAATTACAACAAATCTAAGTATCGTAGATACCTACGTGAAACTAAAAGTTTTCAGAAATTATGCTAAGAAAAAAGACGCTTTTGCAATTATTAATTTAATCCGAAAATCTGGAAAATGTATTGGTTAGCGCTGGTTAAAAAAAAGCAAAAGGAATATTGTGTACAACCTTTCAAATTATTTCTTTCATTGTAACGTCCTGTCTGTAATAGAAACTACCTTGTCTTGAATGACGCCCACGTACAAATGTAATTTTATCCCAATGATAGTGAGGAGTGTTCAGTAGGTCATGTTTATGTGTCTCGTGTTTAGACAATAATCACTCTTTGTATTTATGATATGATTCGAACTCGTACGAAGACGGCTTCGGATGAATCAGTAGGGTAAAGACGTATAAGAGTACGCACTTAGTGATTGAAGTGAAATAATGTCCTCATTTTTATGTAGATATATTGATTTAATATGTCTTTGGTAAAAATGAGTGTTTCATAATTTATTATTAGTTATTACCACACTATGTTATTACTTAAATATGAGATAATTAACTTTATTTGTAACTCTGTATATGCGTACTCTTATACATAGACTTGTATAAGAGTACGCATGACAATGCTAAAGAGTACGCATATACTTTTTGAATGTAAAAGTGGTATGAAGAATCAAATATAATGAGAACAAACGTTTATTTAGAGATTATAGAAAAAAGAAACAATAGAAATAGAAAATACAATCAACTTATTCACTCTTCACAGCTGGCACAAACAAAATTTCCTGTTACATAGGTTGTACATGATTCTTCCCACCATTTGTTGCATTCAGAACATTTAATCCAGTCATCTTGAGACTTGGAATATAGTTCCCCACATCCTGGACAGCTCACGTCCTTTTCATCTTTGTCATTGTGTTTTTTCTTTTGCTGTTTTCGTGATGTTCCAGATCCTGAACTACTAACTACTAATTTTCTTTTCATTTTATCTGCTTTCCTTTCTTGTTTAGTTGTTTTTGCTTGAACCAGTTCCTCTAGTTCGTTTTTGAATGGGGTACTGGATAGTATTTCCGATTTCTGAGATCTAGATTTACAACGATTTGGCTTATCTTGTATTTGCGGCAAAGGTAAAATATCTGAAACTGGTATCGATTGATTGAAATAATTTTCTTCCACTCCTTGCAAAGTGTTTGGTATCACCACACCATCTTCACACACTATTTCACTATTGATAATATCTAATGATGGTGTCACGTGCATGACATCGTTGCTGACTGGTGGTGGTGTTATGTCCAATGGAATAGATAATTCGGCCTCCGAAATTTCTTCATTAGGCTGGTTATTTGATAAAACTGTGTTAATTATCACGTTCTGTTCCATAGCTTCGGTGACATTATTTTCATTTGTATTAGAACTGGTAGGAAAATCTGTGACCAAGGACGGTGCAAAATCAAGATCATCAAACTTATCTGGATTGTAGGGATAGATTCCAGTCGCCTTGAATGAATTTTCGGCCTTTTGAATGTTTGCAACGGTAGTGTAAGCAATGTTAAATAGTCCGGCGACTTGAATTTGTGTTATCACCTTCCCGGGATTATTTGTCATCCATTTATCACATTCTCTGCTGTATGAATTTTTCAAAGGGCCAAAGAAGCCAACGTCTAGGGGCTGCATCTTGTGGCTTGCATGGGGAGGTAAAGATAACAAATCTATGTGATTTTCCCTGCAATATTGTATGGCTTGTAAATCGCGATGTGAACTATGGTTATCAAGTATCAAAAGTATTGGATTTTCAGCGCTAGGTTTGGTGCAGTTCTTAAAATGAACCAACCACTGGCAAAATAACTCTGTATTAATAAATCCAGATTCAGACACCATTTTATAGGTACCCGTTGGTGCATTTAAAAAGAGCTCCTCTTTCATTCTTTTCCTGGGGAATATCATTGCTGGAGGAATGTACGTTCCTGTGGCGCTCATACAACATACAGCGGTTACAAGCTGTCCTCGGTCAGCACTCGCCACTTTTCCCACCAGTTTCTTACCTTTGCTACTTAATACCTTAGGTAATTTATTCGGCACTGTTGACAACCCCGTTTCGTCCATGTTGTAAACTGAACTTGCTATGTATTTCCTCTTTTCGTACAAAATTTTAAGATTTTCATAAAATCTGTTCACCTGAACTTTATTGAATCCCATGATTCGACCCATTGCACATTTCTCTGGTTGACGAAGTGATATATTATGCCGGTGACAAAAACCTTTTATCCAAGATGGGCCTGCCATTTTTGTGATTTTGTTGAATCGATGTTGAATGTTATTGACTTGAGCAAACTTAAATGCTGCTATTTGTAGATTCTTCTTAGTAATGCCATAAAATCGCGAATCTAAATCTCGTACCTGCTGTGCCAATTCAATTTCCATATTTTCAGGAATATCACTTCGAAATCGCCCTAACGATTTCGGAATAGTGCCACATTTTAATCGTTTTCGTAGGGTAGCTTCATTTATACCCATTTCTCTAGCTATACTTCTCTTACTACAGCCTTCAGTGATTTTACGCTTTATATCTTCCAAATTTTCCTCTGTAAAAACCAGCTTTCGGTCACTTTTTCTTTTGTATCGGCTCATACTCGTTTACTAGCAAACTAAAAAATAGGAAATTATTAAGACTATTTCGCTATTTAGACAGTAGGAAAGCATAAAAACCTTCTCGTGTATAAGAGTACGCAGTGCGTGCTCTTATGCTTTCAAAACTGCGTACTCTTAGCCATACGTCAGAATTTTGGAATTATAAGCAATGTCTCGAAAAAAATAGCCACCCAATTAATTGTAGCTAAGAAAATAGTACGTAAGGTTATTTAGAAGCAAGAAATTGCATTAATCAATCTACAGAGTGAACACTTACCTCCAAAAACACTAAAAACTGACCCCTAGAAACTACAGTGTGAACAAGCGGGAACTTATAATCGCCATATTGTAAAAACAGCTTTGGTAATACAGATATCTGCTTTTGCCTGTATTAGAATGTGCAATTTACAATGGGCCGAGCCGCTCAAAATATCAAATAGATGGGAGTATATATTCAAAATAAAGGTGCGTACTCTTATACACCCGCGTACTCTTATACGCCTTTACCCTACGTTCTTAACTTTGAAAGCCCCCTATAAATATTTTTATGGAACTACTTAAACGCGAAACAACTCTTGCATATACGCTGGCTATCTAGTGTAGTATGATCTTTGGTATAAGTAAATGAAGGACTTTACAATATTGTTATGAGTGTGGGCCCTCTTAGTATAAATATTAACGTTAAGTCGTATGTAATGCAGCAATTAAGAAACTAGAGTGTAAGAATGTATCTAGCTAACAAAGGACCTATTTACAACCCTCGTATGATCGCCTTGTCTAGACATTTAATTTCTTTCGTTATGGATAATTTAATTGGCATTTAGAATAACTGAAAAGGGATAATTTATTGTCTTTGTTTTAAACTAAATGTTGTGTGAACAGAAGAAACATAAAAACCCATCTGGGGTGGAAGAATAAAAGTGTATGTTTAGATTATTTAAGTTAGTCTTGATTGCAACCAAGGAGGGGTTAGTCGCTTATTTTGTATTAAACGAGTCCGACAGAAATTTCGTCTTATTATAATTATAAATGTAATAATATAGTCTATATTGTTTATGAGAAAAATACTTTATTGATAATCTTTTTTAATAGATCTACAAAAATCGTAATTATAAATCTATTAACTAGAAAAAAGAAGTAATCATTTTTACAATTACTTGTTTTCGATTAAACAACAGGGTAGTTTATTAGATGATGTCATTTGGGTGTGCTGTTTAATGAGTTTCTTTAATTCTAACATGCTTTTTTAAAAATAGTAAAATTACATTAAAATTGGAACTGTTTGTGCAGGTAACAAAGGAACGGTAATATTTAATTAGCATAAGCCTTAGATTTATTGTGACTTCTTTTTGTAGAAAAGAACTGCATTTGTTTGGAAATGTTTTTATTTGCTGGTTCCCTTTTCATTGCAACTGGAATGTTAAGTTCTTGCTCATTCAAATTTGATCCAATTTCTAACAAAGCATTTATTGTTTTCACTTGTTTTGTTGCAGTGGCTAGTATGCTGGTATCCACTGTTTTCTTTGCTAAGTTAATTAATTCCAGAGCTGCACTAACAAGCTCATTTTGTAAACTAGAAGTATCTGTTGGTGTTTTAAATAAACTTTTGGCTACTGTATTAATTTCATCATTGTCTATCTTATGGCACACAATGGTGTCTGCGATTTCCATACATTCCTTATTTTTTGTCTGTATACAAACAAAATGTATATGTTTGCATATATTACTTTGTATAAAATAATTGGTACAAGTGCAGCTGTAAGAATGATAGCATATGCTGCAGTTTTGACATGTCAAACTACAACAAATGCCATGTGCTCGTTCTTCTACTGTGTATACATTACTATTGTCTATATTCTGAACCGTACATTTCTTCGAACCTTCTTCATTTACTTCATGTGCACTAAGTTTAGCGTGGAGAGCCTTTTGATGACTTTGGTTAATCGAATTAATTTTGTTGGTATTTTTTCCTATAATAAGGAGAATCTTAAAATAATAAACATAATGTACCTATACATACCTTTAGTTACTTTAATTATCCACTCCACTTGCTTGTCACGTGTAAATCGCATTAAATTATGCAGTGATTTATCTAAACGTTTAACTTTTTTGCCATCTAAATATTCATATTTTATAATACGGTGCATAGACTCCAAATACATATTTGTATTAATTCCCAATCCTTTTCTATGACAATACGCCCATAAAGAGTGATTATGTCCATAATAACTGGTAAAGTAGTTATAAAAATGACTAGTATCTGGATCTTCTTGAAGATAATTTATGAAGTTGTTGTACTGGTATTGAAATTCTTCAACCGAGAGACAAGTTTGAACATTTTTAAGGAACTTATATAGGGGAGACTGGGGAGGGTTGATACATGTAAGACCGTAATGCTAATAAATTTGGCTATTTATCAGTTTTCTCCAAGGTAAAGAGCGATTATCAAAGCTCATTGTGTTTACTTCCATTGCCACGTTTGTACTTCGGAACTAGAGCAAAGGTTATTTGGGTATAATTTTTTTTTTAAAGTTGCAAATGTATCATGTCTCCTTTGGTATGGGAGACGTGATACATGACTTGGGAGGATTGATACATGCACTAAAACAATCCTGGAGGATAAGATTTATTAATCAAAACTCAAAAATAATTCTGCAAAACAAACAATAATCATTACTCTTAAAACCACACCTACATTACAGTTGGATATTTCTCGAAATTTACGGGAAATGATAGTTTGCGGTGCATACGCGCTGTTCCTCCTGTGACAATCGGAGGAGGGAGTCTGATCGCGTCAGCGAGAGGCACATATGATTGATCCGGCACTTCTGGATACACAAAAAAATAACCTGGCTTTTTACGTCGCATAAAATTCACACTTAACAAATTTTCTTCAAGAACTTCATCTACCAATCCCACGTAATACCGCACTGATTTTCCAAGGTCAAATTGAACAAGAACGTAGCTGTTTTTTTCTATAACTCCTTGGGCAAAGCTCGTTTCTTCTATATCGATGTCAATTTGATCTTCGATGTCGGTAATGTCTTCTGAAGAACCAGAGGAGTGGATGGACACATTAAGACTAGAATCTGATGATTCGTGTGTAATTTTTTTGTGTTTTTGAGTGACTGCAACTGGATTCAGGCTATTCTTTCCCAGCGAAAGGTTTCTTTTCACGGACTCTGCTGATTTTTTACGCTGCCTTGCAGCAAATTCATCTTCAATTTCTTTTATGTTTGGAGTATCGGTTAAAATTTTTGTTTTCTTTGCGTTACGTGGCTTTGCATTTTTTCTTTGGGGGGCTTTGGGTAAAGGTCTTATTTCTTCAGGACTTTTCATATTGAATCCAGAAGGTCCAGGTTCATCCTGTGTATGGTTATTATCATCAAACAACATAGATGCGTCTTCATCATTATCAGGTGGGCTTGATAGTGGTGACGTAGTTCGCTGTTCTTCTAAGATGGGTACAGTGGGTGACGTACCTTCCCTTATATGATCACGATTGGTCACTTCAGAACTCATAAAGTCGTCAGCTGTAAATATTTCTGGGTTAAATGGTTGTATGCCCGATTTCAAAAAGCCATTTTTTATATTAGACGGAGTAAATGCCCGGTCAAATGCTGATCCGACAAGTTGGGCCACTTCTTTTAATGTTATTGTTTGACCAGGATGATTCACCAAGTAGTTGTCACATGCACTATTAAAATATGTTTTAAAGGGACCATACGTGGCTGGCTACATCCAGTGGTTGAATCCTGTGGCTGGTGTGGGGTGGTAAAGTTAACAATACTATTCCGTTGTTTTTGCAGAACTTAAGGCCTTGTGGAGAGATATGGGTGCTGTGGTTGTCTAATATAAGGAGGACTTTATTTTCAATTGAACATTTCACATACTTTTTGAAATGTTCTAAATAGAGTAAAAAATTTTCTACTGTCATCCACCCGCTAGGATGTGTTGCAGCAACTGATCCCACAGGGGCACCATATGTCATATAATCTTGTTTCTTAACACGGGGAAACACAAAAAATGGGGGAATGAAATTCCCTACAGCATTAACGGCGCAGCAAATGGTAACTGTTTGACCACGTTCAGCCGATGTAGCTTTTGATACCTGCTTCAGACCTTTTTGTGAAATGATACTTCCGGGTTTGTGTGCCGTTTGGACCCCGGTTTCGTCGCAATTATATATCGCAGCGGCTTCAAATCTATCGCGCTCCAACACTTTCCTCAGGAGTTGAAAAAATTGAGACACTGTATGCCTGTTAAAAGCAGTTGCTCTACTTAGGCTTGTTGGTTCAGGACGTCTTATGGATAAAGTGCCGTTTCTCTCCATGAATCCCCTAAACCAATCATAAGATGCCTCTTCGTTGGATGTCCAATAACGAGGGACATTTTTTCCATTTTCAATTGCATACAAATATGCTAGTTTACGACACTCCTTCGGAGTCAAGCCATAATTCATTTTTGATGCCGTTAGTAGATATTGTGCCAAAGCGCTTTCTTCCCTATCAGCGAATATTTGGGATTTCTTGAAGTTTGGGAGGAATGTGGTTTGCATGCCATGTTCTTTGTATTTCAATACATACCTTCTCAACGTCATCTTATCCATTCCATATTTTGTGGCGGTTGTCCTTAATTTACACCCTTCAACTGCGACTTCTTTTACCGCCTTTTCCATAACATCTTTCGCGGGAGGCACTCGGTCTGTTCTTTTTTTGTATTTAAAAGGCATATTCTGAAATTATCAAAAAAAGTTCCGTAGGTAGGTATAAACAAAATAAATTTTAGATTCTTTCATAACAGGAGACTTGATACGTATCAAATCTCCCGGTAATATAATGTATCAAGTGTCCCATGAACACACCGCGACAAAAAATGACGATCTAGTAAAACATAAATAACAATTGCACCAAACCTTATGTACTAAAATGTAAGCATATCAACTTACTATCAAATGATAATACCGGCAAATAGATGGGTAAGTACTTACACGATGTACCTGCTTCCAACACGTCACGTAAAATACAGATCGTAGGCGCGAAAAAACTTCTAACTGCCACAGTAATGTCAATGATGGCCGTATTTCATCAAAGTTTTGGTGATTTACATGTAACGCCACCTCTTAATGATTGGTGGTCTTTAAATATTTACAACACCTTCCCAACCGGGAAATTTGAACGTGTATCATGTCTCCTTCTGTATCAAGTATCCCTAGTCTCCCCTACATCTTTTCGTTTATGTACAGATTGTTCCGAGGTGGCTGATGAAATTTTTGCCAAATTCGTTCTCCATGCTCTGTCAATGTGCCATGAGCAAAAAAGGCGATTTGGCACGTCTCCCATTACAGACCTCCAAGCATTGTAATATGTTTCTGTTATATCAGTCATAAACGTAAGAGTATTTATGCTACCACATGAATTTTTTATAACATTAAAAAATAGTTCGTATGTAGCTGTGTCTTTTCTATTGTAAATCATGAACGCAACTGGCATTCCTTCGCCAAATTCATCGGCAACTAAAACTGTTGTCAATTCAAAATCATAGGGATTTGTACCATGGGTACCATCAATACAAACAAACTTTGATGCATATTTTGTTAGTGTATCACTTTGAAATGAATTCATAATAATCAGACAAAAATCGGATATATTCAATCCATACTCAAGATCGTCTGACCCTTGTGGTTTAAAAAACCGAACTGGATTATTTTTATCACATTCACATTCTTTAACCCACAGAGCCACACTTGTGGCATCATCAGAATGGCGTAACCCATCTACAATGTCAATTTGAAAAGATTTTTTGATGTTATATATGTCTTTTTTTGTGATTAGATCAGAACGTTGTAAATCACCACCTTGTCCTATACTGTCACGAATAGTATCGACTACCTTTGGAACTGACACTCCTAATAACACAAGTTTGGCAGCAATATCGTTCCTTGCACTTTTTGGTATTCGGATGTGTTGAAGTTGTAAATCGTGTCCATAATGAGTTTTAAAATATCTTACTGATACATTATTTGTTTCATTGCAAACTTTTAGTTTTAGATGACTGGTACATGAAAAGCCAATTTTCTGAGTGCCCTGTGTTTTTTGATTCCGGATCTGCGAAGATTTGCTTTTAAATGTTCCTAAAAATTGTTAGTTATAGTGCAATATACAAAAAAAATAATCCAACATACCTGAACGATTACTCATAATAAATCACTGTACAATTATTTTTCACACATTTTCCCTTCTTACGTACATATTGTGTTTTATTTTCTTGTTCAATATTAAGTATCCAGGACTGGAAATCTGAAATGAAAATTGTAGATGTAGAAAAATGCATTGAAATATATATGCTGATTACCTTTTAAAGAACAAAATGTATGTTCATATACCAATCGTCCTCAAAATTATGCTTAATAACTAAATGCTCAATTAAAAGTTTTTTATTTAAGAATTTGCTGTTGCATTCTAAGCAAAAGATAGAGTTTTTCACACATTTATTTTCATTTAATTTGTGTACTTTTTGTAAGTGTCTATTTAATGTACTCATATCAAAGAAGTTTTTGCCACATATATCACACTGTTGGACTTTAGTAACACTTTCTTGTCCATCATCTTTTACATTTATCTGATTCTCTTGTGGTGGGTTAGGTACACTATGAATCGTTTTTAAATGCCGATTTAAATTACTTTTATCGTAAAAATGTTTATCACATATACTACAATTAAAGTTAACCCTTACACTAGTTTTTTTCACATCCATGATTAAAATGTTTCGTAAACCATACACTACAAAAGTCACAGTGAGTTCACAAATACAATAACAATTCCTGACTACGAGTAGTACACCGACTACTATTACTACTAAATAAAATCTGGCAGGACAACTTATTTTTATAAAAACAAAAACAAAATTAACAAATAGAGTTTATAACCTAAGAAATTTAAACTGGTTGCAAGGACTTGTGTTGAAGTTAGAATTCCTTCATATAATAACATCTGCTAACTTCACGAGAGACTAGGCCTAGGTCTCTCTTTAGCCGCGCTATATATATGTACAATGTGTTGTCTACGTTTTAGGGTGCTAGGGCACCACAAGTTTATCGAACACTGAGGGTACGTTCCACTTAGCGCCCGCACTGATTTCGTCCGCGACCGCTCTTTTATGCGTTCCACAATCAAAAAGCGTTGTGGTCGAAGTTTTCAAGTGGAACAGGTTTTGGAGGTTTTAGGTTTCAAGATGGCCGCTGTTGTTGGCATAATTATTCGTCGGCGACGGATATCATCAAGTTCCAGTTCAAGTCTGGATGATGAAGAATTTTTTCAACAAAGAAAGAAGCGGAAACTTCGCCCGAATTACGGATTATGCAGATGTCGTTGGCCGTTATGCAGACAACGAATTTAAAAGTCATTTTAGGTGAGCAATTTGCCAAGCATTCTGTTTGATTAAATAATAAATTAAAAGCTATTTATAGGAGTATTGTATTTCTAGAATGTCAAAATCAACGTTTGAATACCTAGTAAATATTATAAGAGGCGATTTAATTAGAAAGGTTAATGGTTGTCCGACAATTCCGGCTGAAAAGCAGCTGATGATTGCCTTATGGAAAATGGCAACTAGCGATTCATATAGGTGATAAGAAGCTTACAGTAGCAAAATATTTAATGTATAATGAATCAATTTGTCTCAGGTCTGTATGTGATCGCTTCAATGTAGGAAAAGCCACTGGTCTACGAGCTGTACGTAGGGTTACGTATTCCCTGCATAAAAGAGCAGCGAGATGGATTCAGTGGCCAGTGGGAGATCGTGCCATCACAGTGATGCAACAGTTTGAGGCATCATCAGGGTTCCCAAGAGTTATTGGGGCCATCGATGGCACCCACATTCGCATCGATGCTCCACAAGAAAATGCCCCAGACTATGTCAATCGTAAACATTTTCATTCGATACAATTACAGGTAGGCAACAATTGCCAGAAAATAATGTTTATTAATAGAGAGATATGGAAAAATTAAATAGCGCCTGTATACGCTAATAACGCCATGCGCTATTAAGTTAACGTCATGCGGTAAATGTGGCTGTTTTAAGAGATATGGAAACTACATACTGGCGTGACGTTATTTATAACATTCATAACCTATCTTTTATAATTGTCAGAGTTTATTATTGGTTAGCTATTTCATTTTCGATATTGTTGATTATTTACTTATAACGACCACTACCACTAGGACTGCTCATATGGCTTATGAAGAATGAAATATATATTTTTTTTAAAACACTAGTTTCTCTTAACCTCAAAAATTCTAAACATCTATCTCTGCGCAGAACCTAACGATGCGGTATTTGAAATAGCGCACAGCGTTATCCCTCCGTAAATAACGTCAAGCGCTAACGGTAATAACGTTAGTTACTATAAAAATCAAATCGCGCATACCTTTAATGTCAAAATAGCGCTACCCGTTAATACCGCTAGATGTGGGCGAAGGACCCATATCTCTCTAATATTAAGTGGTTTTTACAGTTGGTCTGTGATTCTAACATGTTAATAACGCACTGTTACACTGGACACCCGGGCTCCGTCCATGACCAGAGGGTGTTTAGGCTTTCTGATGTGGCAAACTTTGTAGAAGATGCAGAAAAATTTCCTATGGATAGCCACCTGTTAGGTGATGCAGCCTACGAGTTGCATGAACATCTCCTTGTGCCCTTTCGGGACAACGGTCATCTGACAGAACTGCAAAACAAATATAATAGACACCTTTCAACAGCTAGAGTTACAATTGAAAGATGTATAGGATTACTGAAGGCTAGAATGAGAAGTTTACTGCATTGCTTACCTATGGTGCGTGTGGATCAAATGCCGCAGTATATAATAGCGTGCTGCGTGATTCATAACATTTGCCTGCTACGTGGAGATGATATAAGAATGGTTGTCATACCAGGGGATCCCCAAGGAAATGCCCGAAATATTGATCAATTTGGAAGAAATAATGCTGTAGTGGCAAAAAGGAACATAATAATGAATGCTTTACGATAATATTATTCAAATATTCAAATCAAATACAAAAACTCTTTTTATACATACTTACAAACTTAAATAAATTTTATAAATAATAAACAAAACTGTGACTTCATCAATAATATAAAATAGAATTTATTATTTATTTGCTAGCTTTTCCAAAACTGCTAAAAACTTGTGATCCATTTCTAACCTCTCCTTATGTCGCTTTGCTCTTGCTTCCTCATGCTCGTCCTTTTGTCTTAATCTTTTGGCCATAAGCACATTGGTACTTGGTTTCGATGTTGATGGGGCTATAAGATATAATATACATATTAGGTATATAGTTAAACAACAATTTGAAAGACGTGTACGTAAGAACAGTTAAGTAGATAAATTATGTTGTAATTGTAAATAAGGTGATCATTGGTACTTTTGAACTCACCACTGGTATTATCCTGTGGTTTGACATCTGTATCTGAGGAGGACGCAACCGCAACCGGATTGCACCATGCACGCTTCGAAAATATTTCATCCATAAGCTGCAAAAAAGTTGAGTTTAAAGAAAAATTACCTATAGGTATACGTACGTCAAAAAATTTCCAAGTTCTCTTGTCGTTGCCAGATTTCGCATTGTGATCTTTTATGGATTTATACGTTTTTTTTAAACTTCTCAGTTTTGCGGCACACTGCATTCCAGTTACATTATTATTTAAAATCTCTGCAACCTTGTCCCATACTTTTTTTTGCGGTTGCCTGCCATCGGTAAATTGGGATTCATATGACCGATATGTCTCCAATAACAGTAAAATTGATGGCGTTGTCCATCTATATAATGAACCTGAAAAATCGAAGAAATTAATGTCTAGAAATGTTGGTTGTTATGAATACTAGAAGTTATGCCTATAGGAGACTTGCTACGTTAGTGATGGTAATTGTTAACATGGTTCCGCAACATACCTCCGTCACCCCGATCTACGTCTTCAGGGGATACAATGGATTCTTCTTCAGGGGATACAATCGATTCTTCTTCCGCAGCGGTTTCCGATAATCCTGCGTTTAACAGCTTTGCAGCAAACTGCATATCTGAAAATATATATAAACAATTTGCTCAATTTTTAGAAACTTACCATTTTGTGCACGCTCCGCATCCTCCGCAGATACAATTAATTCTACCAACTGGCCGTCATGATATAAACTTAGGGTAGTCATTTTGGTGAAAGGAAACTAAGGCAAAACATTTAACATAACCTAACAAAAACCAAACGACCACTCTGACCCACCTCTGTTTTACGCGCGAAGCGGGCTTTGCGGTCGACTATTAATGACGTCAACTATGACGTTTTCGACATCGACCACAACATTTGTGGCGTCAAGTGGAACGAAATTTGGGACGTTGCAATCGTCGCAGTCTTTAAGTGGAACGTACCTCAAAATTCTACAGGTTATGTGCCCAGACCGCCCAGTCGTCGTATTAAAAGATTAGATGTATACAAAGTTATAAAAATGGATCCCAAGAGTGACCTTCAGGTATACATGCTAACTGCAACGAATTTTTCAAACTGGAAATTTCGGGTTACTGCTATTCTAGAAGAAAAAGGAGTAAAAGAAGTGGTATTGAAAGAAACAGATCTAGAAACACTAAGCGGAGAGGAACGGCAAAAATTCTTGAAGAGTGACGCAAAAGCTAAATCGACGATTATCAAATGTATCAGCGACACCCACATTGAATACATCAAGGATGCAAAAACTGCTTTTGAAATGTTAAAGAACTTGGAGAATGTACTTCAGAGAAAAACAGTGTTAACAAAATTATACTGTCAAAGGGCTCTATTGCAGTTAAAATGTGATGAAACAAAAGACTTGCAAGATCATTTTGTGGTGTTTGATAAATTAATACGAGATCTTGAAGCAAGTGGATCTAAGCTGGACGAAGATGACAAGGTGTGCCACCTCGTTACTCACAATGACAGAAACTTAATAATACAGTACGTCATTACCGTGTTGGAAACCACAACGTCATATTTAAAGTTAGACTTTGTCAAATCGAAATTGCTGGATGCGGAGTTAAAGTTAAAAAATTCTGGTGGAAGTGAAAGAAAAGAGTGTTCGTTTGCCACCGTAAATCAAATTTGTTATTCTTGTGGTGGTCAAGAACATTTTAAAAATAGTTGCCCCAAAAGAGTTCAGACATCAAGAGGAAATTATAGTAGAGGTTCGTACCATGGAAGATCAAGATTTAGAAGAGGCGCACGTGGACAAGTAGTTAATGCCACATTAGCTACACAAGAGACACGACAAGAGAATTCAGAGGAAATATCTTTCATTGCGTTGTCTATAGTGAAGTGTTAATGCAATCAGTAGACGATGATGGTATAAGGTTCGTTTTGGACTCGGGAGCTACCACTCATTTGGTCGGTGGATTAGTGAAAAAACATTTACAGTCAGTAACACAGATTGAGCCTGTGAAAATCAAGATTGCAAATGGAACAGTGATGCAAGCCAATCAAAAAGGAACTTTAAAAGTAAAAAGCGTTGGTTCTAAAAGCCGTCTTACACTATGCAATTTGTTGCGCAAGATTCCCTTTTGTCTTGGCGCCTTAGACGGAAAGCATGTCAATTTTCAAGCTCCTAAAAGCAGTGGATCCTACTACTTTAATTATAAAGGATCCCACAGCATAGTGTTACTAGCATTGGTAGATTCGGAATATAAGTTTTTATATGTAGATGTTGGAGTCAATGGAAGAATAAGTGATGGTGGAGTATACAGAGAAAGTAGTCTAAAAAAAGGCATTGATAGAAACCTATTAAACTTTCCAGAAGACCGTCATTTACCAGACACTGCCTTAAGTGTGCCATATGTTATTGTGGCAGATGATGCTTTTCCGCTATCAAAAAGAATAATCAAACCATATCCTTTAAGGGGATTGTCTGTGGAAAAACGAATTTTTAATTATAGACTGTCCAGGGCAAGACGAACAGTAGAGAATGCCTTCGGCATCTTAACAAACAGATTTAGAATTTTGCAAAACACAATAAATTTAAGCCCTGAAAAAGCAGAAATACTTACGCTAACGTGCTGCATATTACATAATTTCTTGGCTGTAAGAAACAAGAAGTATATTCGACCAGAAAATGAAATTAATGAAACATGTAGTTTAGAAACCATATCTCAGCAAGGTGGTTTTAGAGCAAGTAATGAGGCTCTGCTTACAAGAAACAAATTTTTATTTTATATTATTATTTTAATACTGTCGGAAGCGTTGAGTGGCAAAATAAGTCAATTGGATTAGTTTAGGTTCTATTGTTCACATGTGCTCTACAGTGATGATTATGTAATAACGTCAAAATAAAACTGTATCGGTGTAATAAGGATAATTGTAATATAGGTACATAACATAAAATATCTTGTAAAATATTAACTCAATAATGCCTCGTGCAAAACAGTATGAATATTATATTGCACTGTCAATCTTTTGTTTTCATTTCTTATTTTTTTTAGTTGTGAAGCTACAAACTCCCCAAATATATCTTCACTGCTTTTGAGACCTGGCTTAAGCGCATCAGTAATTCCCTCAAGGCTTGAAGACACAGCTTCTAACACTTTTAGGTCTGGGTCTTCTGCCTTTTTACTTTTTCCTTTTGCACCTGTTGCAGATGAAGACCTGTTATCAACTGAAAGACTTCTTTTTTTTAATCCACCAAGTCCAAGTTCCAAATCATTCTGATGACAAGATGAGCCACTTCCCGCTGATGATGGTCTGGTGCTAGGTCTGGTGTCAACTGAAATGCCTTTTCTTTTTAACCCACTGCATCCTGACCTCTGATGATCTGGTATTAAATCTGAGGAAATTTCTGGTGATAAAGGTACCAATACTCCTTGGTCATCTACTTCATACTGTTCCACAATCTAAACATATAATGTTCAACTTTTGATGTGAAAGAATGTAGCTACTTACAGTTTCATTAATTGATGAATCCAGTAAATCTTCCTCCTGTGTTTGTGATGTTTCATTGCCCTCCTCGGGCAATAAAAAGTTTGAATTAGATTTCCTGACTACAAGGTGGTCGTCCAGGAAATCCATTTTTTCATAATACCACAGCGACGGATGGTAAACCTAGTTAAATGGTTACGTTACTATTATTATACACTATAAAGTGATACAAACTACCTCATTTTCGGCCATTCCACTGTGTATACTCGCTAAATGTTTCCTTCTCTCATTTGCGTACGTTGTCCTTAATCCATGAAATTTTTTTTGGACATCAGCTTCTGAGGTAACTGGTCTTATCGGTTTAATGTTATTAAGTATGGTTAGCAGAGCAGCATTTCGGACATGCTTGTTGTGGTAGTTTTTGTCCTTTACCACATACAAACACGGATGCATTTTGTATAAGTCAATAAGACAAGAAATCTGTTCATGTGTCCACGACATTTTAACGCAAAACTGGCAACACAAATAACTAAATGAAGGAATTAACAAGACAAGACAGATTTTGTCAAACAAAACACCTCGAAAAACACTAAACAGCTGATCTGAAAACACATGTTCAACGAGCGGCGCACGCGCATTTTAAAATTGCATTGAAACTGGCATAAAAAATAGCACCGGTTCTATTTTTGATGCAATAATTTGTTGCAATGTAATTTTGCATGCAATTTCCTGTATGATACTATGCAATTTAAATTGTGCAATATATCTTGTGCAAGAAATTGCTCAGTGTAAGACGGCTTTTAAATATCAATTGCTATTGAAGTGTTAGTAGTGGAACAATTACCTTATAATTTATTATCAGTACAAAAAATTAATAAGGCGGGATTTAAAGTTATATTTGATAGTGGGTATGCTAAAATCGTTGTTAAAAACAAAAACATTGTGTGCAAGTTACAGAACAGTTTATTTATGGTCCACTTTAAAATTTTGAGAACCACTGGAACAGAGAGTAGTTTTATATCAGCTGTTAAAAATAATCTTTGGCATTTGAGGTTAGGGCACATAAACAGAAGAGGGCTACAATTATTAAAATTGCCATATAGTGAAGAAGTGTGCGAGTCCTGCATCAAGGGAAAAGCTACCCGACTACCCTTCCAAAGTGTTACATCACCGAAATCAAAAAGAATTGGCGAACTATTGTACAGTGACGTTTGGGGACCCGTAAATACACCTACATTAAACGGTGAGCGTTATTACTTATCAATAATAGACGACTTCTCACATTTTTCAGTCGTGTACTTATTAATGAATAAATCGGAAGCTGCTGACAAGTTAATAAATCATGTGAAGTATTTGCAAAATAACGACATTCATGTTTCAAAGCTTAGAACCGATAATGGTGGAGAATTAACGTCAAAGAAATTGGAAAGTTTTTTGGAAGACTGTGGAATAATTCACGAATTTGCGGCAAGTTATACGCCACAACAATGCGGTGTTGCAGAGAGGTTTAATCGGACGATTCTAGATAAAGTAAGATCGATGTTTATAGATACCAATTTACCAAAGTATCTTTGGGGAGAAGCTGTCCGAAGTGCCGTTTACATGCTAAATAGATGTCCTACACGAGCTTTAGGTGATCAAGTACCTACGCAAATATATTACGGAAAAACAGACTTAAGTAAATTGAAAGTGTTCGGACGCAAAGCATTTGCATGCAAAATACAGAGGGATGGTAAACTGGAGCCACGAGCAAAAGAAATGCGTTTAGTCGTTTTGTTTATTGAGTGAATCAGATCCAACAAGTTACAATGATGCTGTCGAAGATATCACGTGGGAAAAAGCAATTGAGACCGAGCTGAGATCACATAAAGAAATGGATACGTGGAGTGAAGCAGAACTACCAAACAATGTAAGGCCGATAGAAACGAAGTGGATTTTTAAAACGAAGGATAATGGACTGAGAAAGGCGAGACTAGTGGCGAAAGGTTATCAAGAAAATGTTCCATCCGAGGTTCCATCGTTATAGGCGCCCGTTGCAAGGTTATCTAGTTTGAGAATGATATTGTCGATCGCACTTCAAAATTGTTGGGAAATCAAGCAACTGGACGTGCCAACTGCATTTCTACATGGAAGTTTATAAGTGATGTGTACATTAAAAGTCCGGAAGGTTACCATAAAAATTGTGTATTAAAATTAAACAAGCCGTTATATGGTCTTAAAGAGTCTCCTAAGTGCTGGAATGAACGAGTGAACAATTTTTTGATAAATTTAGGTTTTAAACGTTCGACAAGTTATTTGTGCATTTATTTCAAACCACATTTAATTCTCTTAATTTATGTTGACGATATTATAATTACAGGTACTTGTACTTCCAACGACATACTGCAAATCGAATCCTTTTTGGTACAAGAATTTGATATCAAATGTCTTGGTCAGGTAGATGAATTTTTAGGGATGCAAATTGAAAGGAGTGGAAACAAGATTGAATTATCACAAACACGTTTAATCGATAAAGTAATTTCAAAATTTAACATGTTAGATTGTAAAGGTGTAAGAACTCCGATGGAAGTAAGTTTTATTGCTAGTAATGAAACGGAAAATATTGCACATCATATTCCGTATAGAGAGATAATAGGTAGTCTAATGTATATAGCATTGGGTAGTAGACCTGATATTAAGTTTTCGGTTTCATTTTTGAGTCAGGAGTTATTGTATATTTTTGTAATAACCCTATTTCTTGGATATCTCGAAAACAAAAAACTGTTGCATTAAGTTCTACCGAAGCAGAGTATATAGCTGCTACGGTTGCAGCAACTGAATTACTATCTTTTATTAAATTATGTGAAGAATTGACAAACTGTAAACCTATCCCTGTATTGTACATGGATAAATCAAGGTGCAATTTCAATCGCAAAATCGAATGAAAATGGTCGTAGGTCTAAGCATTACGATGTCAAGTATCATTTCATAAAGGACCTGGTGAATAGCGGAAATATTAATATTCAATATGTTCAATCCAATAAAAATATTGCACATATTTTCACCAAGGCCTTGTCTTATGATAAGTATGTTAGTATTAGAAATTCTTTGTTTTGTACTAAGGAACAATAATTTTTTTTGTGTCTGTATTGTCTAGTGTTCAAATAGCAAATTTTTGTTTAAGTAAACTTAGGAACATAAATTTGAAGGGGGGTGTTGAAACATACGTACGCCTATGGCGAGTTGACATGCGTAGTTAAGCAGTAAGTAGTTGATGTAAAGAAGATGGAGGAAGATTATTGTGTTGTGCTGTCGTGCATTAAAAATTAAATAAAGACATTACATTTTAACATTGCGTTACTCAAAATTCTACATTATTGTCTTTTTTCTTAGCCTCTAGTTTTCTTTTTCGTTCTAGTTTATCAGCTTCCATTTTGGCTTTTTTCTCACTTTTTTTCTTGCTATATTCCTGCCACATTTGACTTGTTACAACACTGGGTATTTTTTCTTTAGTTTTCTTATCTGTCGCGGGTGTTGACTCGGGCCAGAAAAGCGCTCGCTTAAAAGGACTGGGAACTATTGGTCCAGTTTTGGTGTTGTCTAATTTCTCGGAACACTTCATTGGCGATCGATATTCTAACAATGTCAGGTTGGGTTTTATAGGCGTTATAATTTGTACATCTAAAATATTAATTTTATTTTTGGAATCCAGTGGTGGTTGATTTACATTCAGTTCGGGTTGTTGGGAGGTATTTTTAAAAGAATCGTGCAGCTGAACGTTGTCATTATCAGCATCAGGGCAAAGTGAAGGTGAAGTTATTTTAGACGGGAATGGGTGTGTTATGGTAGTGATATTTGGGTTTTCAGCAGTTAAGATGGTACTATCAATTGTTTCATTATTGCAAACAGGATTTCTAATATTATTTTCATTTATTAGTTCAAAATTAATGTCGTCTTCAAAAACAATTTCTGCCTCTTCTATCATGTTTTCAATAGTTTTTTTAACTAATCCGCAACCTTGTTTCATTTTCTTCCAAATTTCAAACAACGATTTATCTTCTATTCGACCACTCCACTGTTCTTCCAGGTAGGTGCTCTTGAAAACTATTAAGTGTTTCTTGGTCTATAAAAGATTCCATAAATGCAAGTCTGTCTATATTATCCGTCTGCACGATGTCTTCAGATTGTTTCGGTGAATTAGATCGATCATCATTTTCTGGAAAAAAATTGCTCATTACTTCGGCATCCCATGGAAAGAGTCCACATTTCTTAAATCCATTTTGAAGGATCTTTGGAGTTACCCGATCTTTAATAGCAGCATCTAATAGGGGAGCAAAATCTCGTCGTCTTAATGGTTCAAGTTGATTTTGAAGCCTCCATGCGCTGACTTGCTCTTTCCATCCAGACTTCAAAGTACGAAACACTGCTACATCCATTGGTTGTAACAAATGTGTAGCATTTGGATACAAAGCGACCAAAATTATTTGATTTTCTCAACAGAATTTGCTAAGGTGGTACGATAAGTGTGAGGAATGTCCGTCTACGAAAAATATTATGGGAAATGAAATATTTTCTCTAGCCCAAGGATAAAAGACGTTTGCTATAACGGGTTTACCAATAAGAGCGATAGGATTTTTAATTGAAATAAAACACAGTCAATTTGGTCAAATTTAGGTTTGATTGGTTTTATTAGATGCTGTATTTCATGCCATTTATGATTTAAACAAAATATCGTTCAAATGGTCACCGCGGCTCTTTTTGCACTGGCTCATCCGATCGGACCAATTTTCGATGACTCGGTGGATCATATCGGGTGGAATGGCAGCTATGGTCGCTCGAATGTTGCCCTCGAGCTCGTCAAGAGTCTTGGGTTTATTCGCATAAACCTTTGACTTCACATAGCCCCACAAAAAGAAGTCCAATGGTGTTAAATCGCATGATCTTGGCGGCCAATTGTGGGGGCCATTTTGAGAAATCAACGATTCACCAAACTGTTGCCGCAATAAGTCCATTGTAGCGTTCGCTGTGTGGAATGTTGTTGGATAATTTCCAAGCGTTGAGGCAACGTGAACTTGTTCATGATGAAATGGCAAGCCTTACTGATGACAACTGACAGCATATGTCAAATGTTTGGCATCCAACATAGCCGCCTTAAACGTTTAAAATCCTATCGTCCCTATTGGTAAACCCTTTATAACTATAAAAAGTATCTGAGATCATCCACCCATTTTTGGAAACTCCTATTCCCCAATGCCTTGGTACGCTAGCAGAGAGGTCGGAAGGAATTCTTTTATATCGAAAAATTATCATTGGTGGAGCCAAAGTTCCCGCGGCATTTCCATTTAAAAGTACAGTAAGACACTCCTTTTCATTATGCTATTTACAGTTGCATAAACTGTCTTATCACCTCTTAATGTTAAAACTTTATTTCCTTTTGGATTTAAAAAAACGCCGACTCGTCGGCATTAAAGATACGAGTGGGATCTTGTAAGACAGTTGTTAAGCCAGCAGTTTCTAAAAACTCGTAGACTTCAAATAAACCATCTTCTAATTTGTATTTTTTTACAGAAGCTCTACTCGTGGTTAAATTTTGAGGCGTTCTGAGGCTTATTTCGGGATGTCGACGTAAAAATCCTTCGTACCACTTTCGACCGGGCATGTTATTTTTGAAGTATTTTTTAAGCTCTTTGGGTAGTTTCGAAGCACTGGATAAAAAAATGTCTTTGGAAATCGGGAACCCACTTTTTGCCATAGATGTTATCCACGTAACAAGAAGATCCTCTTCAGTTTTTAAAAAAATTGTAGCAGGCCCCATTTT